AAACAGCTGTAGGTAGATGGCCTCGGCTCCACGCAGAACGCTCTGCAGGTCCAACTTCATTGTCAACTCGTTAATGTGCTGCAGATGAAAAACATTATAGAAGATGAAAATCTGTATGATTACAGAAAAAAAAATAACCGTCATCTTTAATCCAGACACACACCTTCAGAATAGTGTTGAAGTCATGGTTCGAGCCTATCAGCTCTTCTCGCTGGGACTCGAGGATCGAACAGGCGATCAGCAGGTGGAAGTTTTCACATGGAAGACGAGTCCAGAGGACCTGAGGAAGAAAACACGATGCTATAAAATGCGATGTCAAGATGCAGCCCAAACAATCCTTACTGTAGACTGTAAAATAGCAGCACATAATATATAAAAAAATTGAATGTGGGATTTCAATTAAAGGTGAAGCATTCGGTTTCATAACAAAAACCAATTCAAGACACAAATATGTTAAATTGGTACAGTCAAGCACTCACCTCCCACAGTGTGAGGATATCCTCAAAGGAAAACTCTCTCTTGAACCAGATGAGCAGCCAGCGGAAACAGAAGCAAAGCGAGCCGCTGTCCTGAGAGTCTGAAGGACAATCAAGGAAGGGAGAACTGGAATTTTAGTTCTTTACAAAAAAGAAATTATTATTGCACATTCAGAGTTTTCTCAGTTTCATACATATGCATGGCATGTATGTCACCTTCAGCATATCTAAACTTATATGTGAGAGGTCAGATTCAACAGAAAACATGGTAATGTCTTCCTTTTGTGCACCTCTGGTCATCTTTCTGCATTGCTGCTATATTTAAGGTTAGACTTCGCCTTCGGTGTCAAATTGACCCAACCTCAAACTGTAAATTCATCCGCCAGTCTCTCCCTGTGACTTTATCTTCTTCCCCAAATGCCATGCAAATTGACAAGTTGCTCCTTTTAGACAGAAGCACATGTATACAAGTACATGTAGTCAGAATGAGACCTCTGGGGAGTGATGGGAACTGAAATTAGTGCTGAGGTGCAAATCAACACAACAATGAAGGAGGTAGCTTTAAAGCTTCTTTATCTTGCCCAGCTTTACTTTGCACGTTTCATTTTACACTCTCACTTCTACTGTTAATCTGCCTGGCTAAATAGGAGCTCACTTACCCAGGAAGTCACAGAGCTCTGGGTCCAGCGCCTTCAGCAGGATACTGAGCTGAAGAAGCTGCTGCTTCATGGCCTCCTGAGACTCTTCAAAGTTCTGGTGCTGCAGGAAAGAAAAACAAAGACCTGTTCTTCAGCTGGAGTCTACGGCTTCCTACAAATACATCTATCTTTTGGATGTTTCTGCTTTGACACTCCGCTAATTTCATTATTTTTTTTTTTTCACTGCTTCCTCAGATCTCAATGATTAATATCACATTTCAGCACAACATAGAACCAGATTTTTTAAGAGAGAGAATGTGCATTTATTTAACATTTAATAAGGTGTAATGCTTGTGATTGCTGGCAAACAGCCTCAGGCTACAAACCAAAATCCAGTGAGTGTTTTTGTGGTTGCTTCACAACTGGAGACAGCAGCGAGTTAGCAGAAGAGCACACTGAGAGACATCCAAAGCAGTTTTAAGTGTGGGCTTTTTATATTGATTCAAATCAGATGTTGATGAGGTCTTAAGTCACTGCACAAAAATCACTTCACTGGCCCAAGTGCATTTAAACTTTCAAAGGTTATGTTTGTGCTGCTGCCGAGTTAATTATTCTCCATTCGGAGCAGAAATCGACTCAAATATAGAGTAACAGCTTTAAAAGCTCTTGTGTGTCTCAACAGAAGATCACGGGTTTGTGACAGACGATAACAAAAAAGAGAACAGATGTATTTACTAACCACCAGCTCCATGAATCCTGTCAGACACCAGAATGACTCCACCTCATTCTGGGTGACGAACAGGATAGGAGAAAGAAGATCACTCATCCCCTGCACATAACCTGCACCGATGAAAAAGGAGACCTGTGTTAAACCTGTGTCACAAACATATTTACATAAATACTTTACTCAAACCGCTTTGAATCGCTGCCAAACCCTTTGTTGATTGGTCTTAAAACATCATGGACATCTCTGTTGTTTCACTGTTTATTTTGTTGTTTGCTGAACACAAGGAAGTAGAGAAAATTAGCCAACTAGTGTTAAGTAACAGGAAGTTGCAGAATACTTTTCCTCCTGTTGTTACAAATCTTTCTGGTCAC